CTGGTAGCTGTAAAGGTACTAACTGGGTGATAAATCTGCAATAGATTAATTATTATTGTTTGCGTTAGTGACGATCATAGATTTAGTATAGGTGACGATCATATTATGCCTTGACATTGTATTTCTAAATGTAGTATTGTGACATTGATAATGACATAAATTATTCTATTCTTAAAAATTGTAATATAAACTTTTTTATTAAAAAAAAAACGACTTCAAAACTTTGTGGGATTACTTAAATTACTATCTATTTGCTAAGTTTGATTTAAATCGGTTAAAGGAACGTGGATGAAATCCAATAAACCTGATTCATCCCCTAATTTGCCACCCTTAGAAGTGAAATATTTTCATCAAATTTGAACGGAATCACTACTGAGGTATCCACTTTCAATACAAAAAAGAATCATTGAAATCGGTTCACAAATGTCGGAGATATGATTCGATTAAAAATAGCTGCATTAAAATTTACTTAAGTCTCTATAATCTTTAATAGTTTGTTTCTCCTCTTATACTTTAATCTGTTAATTATGATTTTATAGATCATATCAGGAATGATAGCAGGTATTTGAAGTTAAAAGTACAGTTTTTACAAAGATTATTTTTATTTTAAGTATATTATGAAGAAAATAAGAAGAAATAGTGATGAAAAAAGTTAGAACTATATTCCTTATTTGAAATAGAATCTCAATGGAGTCTTAATAGAATTAAAATAACCAGTGGTTTCAAAGAAATTACGGGACCCAAGAATCTTTACAATAAATAATACATATATACAGTGTTCCAAACATTGCATTGTATAATAAATATACAATGCAATTTTCCATATGGGATGTTACCAATTTTCGGTTGACCTAGCTTTATCACGTTTACAAATTTTTATTACGATACCACCAGCACATACTAAAAGTATGTTTTCTTTACACAAATTAAGTTCTAATTATTTATTACACAATCGCAAAGGAAAACAAGCATTAGCGTCGGAGGTAACAGGAAGCACAATTTTACGCATACCGCAGTAGAACGTCTTTTGTCAAATTCTGTAATTGCCGTAGTAATCGATAAAATGGTTAATTAGTGAGGTTTTGCCATAAACTTCGTAAACGATGATGTTGTACATCATTTACATTGACATTGTTAATATAGTTTATATAAAGATTAAACAATGGTAATGGACTGTGCGTTTTAATTATTATATTAATTATATAATTATGAAATTAATATAATTTTCAAAATTAAACTGTAACTTTTAATTACTACGTTTAATTTTGATTTTGAAAACGCTTTGCATTATATTAATTAGAAAACGAACAGGATTTTGAAAAACAAACAGGATTTTTAAAAACGAACAGAATTCGTTTTTTGTTTTCGCAGACACAGACAGGGCGCACGAAAGAAGCGTTCCCGCATGACGGAATATTATTCCTTTTCTTTACCTGTACCTTTCTTCCATATCTTTTTCTTTAAATATTCACAATGCAAATAGGTGTTACCAGATTCAGTTTTACCGAGCTTGTAACGTGCTGTTAGTGCAATTTGTCTGTGTCCTAAAGTGCCTCTGAGAGATAACGTTCAAAGAAAAAAAGAAAGATTTTTTATTTTAATTTTTTAACGTCCATGAAACCACGATAATAACTCAACCTTCAAAATACCTCCCGCATCAGTGACAGACGGATGAACGGACAAAAAACCAACAATTGCTGTAATTATTTTAAGCACAGGGCGCATGCGCCACTGGCCAGTCCACCACAGAGGCTCGCGCAGCGCGCGCGTTTCAAACATTCCAATTTTGATTTTGAACTTGTAACGGCGCTTCGAATAACGGACGGTGTTGAAAGAAATGTAAAATTTTGCAAACCACAAAGACGTTCTATATTTTTTTATTTATAGACCGAACGTGTTTTGCAGTAGGCCAATGTCAATAAAGAAACTTTATTCAGTTTTACGCAGGTGAACTTATCAGTTTAATTATAAAGTTTTAAGCTGATCAAGATGGAGCGGCTCGTGCTTTTGGTAAGCTTTTTATTTTTATAACTCGCGCTGGAATTTACATTTAAAGAATAATAGTAAAATGTTCGTTCTTCGAGACAGGGTAAGGTGTCTAATTAGCCGTATTGCCAGATCGTAGATTGTAATTTTTCTTCCACAGTTTAATTTTCTGACATTTTTTCGCGGGAAATCGTAATTCTTTTCTCTTTCTTGGCTTTTCGCGGTTATCGTTTCAGCCGCTAGGAAAATCGTTATTGTTTACGGTGGCATTTCGAAAGTATCATTTTAAGATTAATATTTAAAGACCGCAACTTTTTAAAAAAGAAAGCCAATGTAAAGCTAAACAAAGAAAATTGTCAGTTTACAAAATCTATATCATTAAAATACAGTACTATTGTAAAAGCAAGGCGGTGCAAGTGTAATAGCATAAAGCAAAGTATGTACTATGTTGTTGTGTCGTCTAGGTTTCTCACGATCTGATTTTTCAACATCATTCCGAGACTAACATCCAAGTGGCATCTTAATCGGTCGATTGTTTGCCTAACTCTAGGTACTATAGCAATCTGTAGTTACGTACTAAAATAAGTATAACCTAGAAGCAGATGAAAAAAAATTGAACTTAAGTTTCTCAAGGCTGTTGTTATATACATTTATATTGAGTCATTTTCATGAGATTAACTTGTTTTCATTATTTTCGGACTTTGCGTTTTCCTGATTACCGTTTCGCTCTTTTTATTATCCATATTTATTAGTGCACGAACAAAGAGTACAGTTAGTACTTGCTTGCTTAAGGGAGGGTTTATCCAGG